CAACGAAAGCTTTGTTTGTTTGTGTTGTGCTCTCTTATGGTTATAGTGTAAGTTTTTTTTTATATATTTTATTATCTTAAAAAATATAAAATATTAATTAAAATTAATAAAAATATATACAGATTAATTAAATTTTAAGAATTAAAATTTTTTATTTTTAAATAAGGCTGGGTAACACAACCTGCACGACATAGAATTCATTTTGTAGAAAAAGCTTATCATTTTGTTGATAGATAAGAAAAAGGATGGTCAATCATGTTAAAAATGGTAGGAGTTGGAGGAGTTGATCAATGTATTCTGCAACAGTAGTTGAAACTATTATTGGTAAGGCCTTAGCTCCATAAATTTCCACGGAGTATAATCCAGTTATATGATCAGTCAATTTTGGGGTGGTAAACAGATCTAAGAGGGAAGTTTGGTCTTTACTGTTCTGCTATAACTTGGATTGTGTGGATATGCAAGAATGAAAGGTTATTTAAAGGGAAGGACAAGTTTGTCAATATGGCTCTCAAATTGACTGGAAGGAGATCATTTATGTGAACAAAAGGCAAGGTGGGTGGTTGTTTATCCAGATCGGTGTCTAAAGTTTGCTCTTTGTGCTTTGGGATTGACTAGCAGAGGAGGTTAGAAGATGAACAAAAGCAGAACTTTCATCAGAAGGCCAATGCAACTTTATTTAAAAACAACATTAAACACTCCAAATTAAAAGACCTCATCAGAAAAAGATCATTCTTTTTGTGAAGATTTCCTTATTAATCCAAAGAAACAATGTAACGACAATCCCAAAGCAAAAACATGAGAAATGACACAAAGACATTTAGAATGAAGGATGACGGTAGACTTTGTTCAAGATAGTTAAACACTGTCAAATTAAATAATTTTCTTAAATTGAGTAATTTTACTTTTACTTTCAAGTGATGAATTTTTAGGCATAATAAGTAAAGAGATTTACCTGTTCTACATCATAGTTAATAATTAATAATGTTTATATTTAATTAATGTACTAGTAATAATAGGTAACTCAAATTGGTTATTACTCCTAATTAATAGAGTACAGTTCAAACAATCCTATTGTGTATATACAATTTATTTTATATAATTACGAAAACTAAATATATACCATTTCAATTGATTAAGAAAATTAATTATGATATCATTTATGAAGAATAAGCAAACTATATTTACACCTGAATTAAGTCTAACATAAGTGAAAAATTTTTAAGCACAATTTGGATGATGGATATGTTTAATTTCTTCAAATATTAAAGGAAAAATTATATAAGTTATGAAGTGTCTAATTCTTTTTATAATAATAGTTTTTGAGAGCCTTCTATTATTGGTTGTTACTGTAAATTTGCTGCAATTATGGTTCTTTTAGGCACAATTGTTTAAGGTAATTGATATATCTATAAAGATAATTAGGTGGAGATAATAGCAGCATCGATACTGAAAAAACAATTACTCAATAAAAGTAAAATAAAATAATTTTTGCAAAATAACTGACCTTGTCACTAAAAAAAGGTTGAGTAGGGATGACAAGCCTTTCTTCACTTTCTGTGTCATTAGTTGTTATCTCTTTCTTTCGATCACTTGAAAATGAAGAAGCAAAAGCAGCCAAAGCTGAGCAGTTAACAACAGTAATTTTGTACAACCGTGGAAACTCAAGCCGATTACTTCCCTCATAGAAACATTTCAAGTTGGGACAAGACTCTAAAATAATGGTGAATAGCTTAGGAAACAGGTCCTCAGCTCCTTCTCCTTTGATCACTTGCTCCATCTTGACACAGTTTGTGACTTCCAGATTATAGAGTTGCACAAGGCCCAACGCTATGGAAGATGGGAATAGATATTTCAAATTACCACAGCTCTTGATGATCAACTTTGTCAGTTTCGCAACATAAGAAGATGTTATTGAAGCGTGCCATATGGTGTTAACATTAATCCAAGACAATTCCAACTCCTCTAGGTTCGGAAATGCAACCTGCACAACATAATTCTTCTTCTAATTAAATTTCATGATTTTGGTTATAGATATAGAAATAGGATGATACCGTGTTAGAAGCCGTGGAGTTTAGGTACGACTAAAATAAAAGTAATGCAAATCAAAGAGAAGTATTATATTTATCTAGTATTAAATTAATAGAAAAAGTATTTTATAGATTGTTTTCTTAAATTTTTTAGAGAATATATTTAAAAGCTCATTTTTTATTTATATTTTTGAAAATTAACTGTTAAATTGAAAATTTTATTTATATAAATCATATATGTAAATTTTCATGTTAATTTAGTAAGCTTAACCTCTTCATTAACTACAAAAAAAATTTATCACTATCAAATATATATCAATAAATAGAATTACTTTTATCAAAAAGTTATAAATGTTGGATCAATATAAAAATTAATATGCATAATTTACATGAATAAACTTTTAATCCAATAGTTAG